CTGTATTCTTACTTTTACAAAATTCTTATTTTCAAGCTTTATGAGGCCAACAAAATGTTTAGACTATTACTCTCATAAAGTAGCACACCCTCAATCTTTATGAGGCCAACAAAAGGATGAATAATTGTACTGTTGCTCTAATAAAGTAACACATTCTCAAACTTTATGATGACACCAAAATAACCGTACTGCACTAATATTCTCATAAATCCCATATTTTCAAGCTTTATGAGGACAACAAAACCAAATTATTGCTCAGATGTCATGGAGACAGTCACACACATACTAACCCATTTTCTAGTGAAGATGAAGGTAATGTTGTGTATACGGACAAAGCAAAACGTATTGTTCTGAGAAAAGTAAAAGGTATTAAACTGTAAGATTCAGAAACAACCAAACCCACTGTCTTCAATTATCTTATCAACAAAGGGATAACTGGCTTGATGTTGTCAAGAAAACAACGTGAAACTAAATATCCAGTTATCAATTTCTAATCATGAGTAATAGAGATTAATAAGCATACAAGGGCTTATAACATCCAAGTTAGGTTTTGATACCCGCAGTGTGGCAGAGCACAAGCAAAACTTTCTTTATTTCATAACTAAACACACACTTGAACTTTCTATTAAAACTGTTTAGCTTAGTGATAAGTTTACCTTACCCATGTCTTGTCTGACTTAGCGCCAAAATAACTCCTACGAATGTCTCATTCATCATAGCACTGTATTTAGTCCTATTTGTATCTTATCTTAAACTGATCGCTTTTGAGAAGGGTATGTAAGCCCTTTCCAACGCAAAATCCTTGTACAATCAAATCATAAGAACGTTTTCAGATAGAAATTTAGAATTTCTAAGAAGGGGATATTCCCTGTTCTTAATGAAATTGGAAACAAAGGAACAAACCTACACAATGGGCTATCTGTGCTCTGCCCACCACGGGTATCGAAACCCGGATTCTAGCGTTGTAAGTTCACAGACATACCGCTGTGCCACTGGGGGCCTTGGAGAAGTAAGACCATCCAGAAAGAGACCTTCAAGAAGTTGTGAAACAGCTGTTGTAAGCAAAGTGCAGCGTTTTGTACCAAGTGAATGTTCACGAACATAAAGGTCAGTGTGAAAGGCCGTCCAGGTGCCCGAGACAACAGTACACAACATAACCAAAAAGGATTTTCGTCTAGATAAGTGGCACAAGTCAAGTACACACAAGTTGCTTTTATGACATATCCGTCAAGCAGCTGGAGAATGAAACTGGTATTAGTGCTATTCCATATAAATACATACTAGTCAAGTTAGTGGGATAAGTTCATTTAACGTTTTTTTTATACCGAAAGTTGCTGTTGATGCAATGATATCGAGATAACTATTAGAGTTGTGAATTTGGATACTAAACTTGCTACAAATTCACCAAATTATTCAATTTAAATGTAATGTGTCTGTTCTCACATGTACCCTATCTGGGCGCTGACAAATAGACATGTTCCCCAAAACCCATTCTTTTTTTTTCCAGCAGTTTATATATATATATATATTCCTTCACTATTGATGAAGAGGTGTTCGCGTACCTCTTGAAGTACCTGTGGTTCTTTAATAGATTAGTCTACAAGAACGTCAACTACCCATTGCTTAAGAGATTTTCTGTCCGATTTGCAATATTTTATCGTGCAAAATGTGGCCCCAGTGGGTGAAAGTGGCAAGAGTCACCAGTTAACCCCCACCTAACGGCCCCATTTGTCGTTGTGGCTATCGGACAGGTTCGGTTCTTGGTTGTAAAACTCGTGTATTGATTATAATTATCAGATCTCACTCGAGGGTGAAACGCTGGGGAATCGACTCAGTATTTTCTAAAATTTTAGCTGCGGCACAAAGGCTCATAGAACGGCTCTGAGTTTTGTTTTGTTTTTTGTTTGTTTTTTCAAGTACAAACTTTTATCTCATAGCTCCGTCATCTCTTGACTGATCTGAGATCTAATTACAGTTTTGGACTCAGGAGGTCAAACTTTTTCGATTGATGTATTTGATCGCGCCCGAGGTATCACAGATTAATTTACTCTAATCCTACCTAAAAGAATTTCAATTTTAGGGTAGACTGGCAGAGATCCTGATGAGTAATAAAATCAAATCGGGTATAAGCAAGCCCCACGCTTGGTATTGCTGGCACACAAAAATATAGCTAATAAAAAAGGAAACAAAAGTCTCATAAATTAATTTACTCTAATCCTGCCTAAAAGAATTTCAAGTGCTGCGGCTATTGGGGATTCCCTCTCGTTTGTTTTATTTCCGTGTGGTTGTTAGAACAGCAAACGAGGTACATATAACTAGAATTTGGAAATTTGCCTGAGACCACTTTTGAAACTTTATAGTGTTCTTATTGAGTTTTCTCTAATATTTTACTCTGTACACTATTTCTGCTGGGTGTTTACTCTAAAACTACCACACTCCTTTGCCTTTACTTGTTTAAATGTACCCTTAAATTTTAACGATCCAACGATACAGAATTTTTGTTGTTTAAGACTCATAACGTAAGTAAATTAGTATCGGGCAACAATGTATATATTGTTGCCCGATGTAGGCTCCGGTAAGAGGGCCGTGTATAATTCTACAGATACAGAATTTTTGTTCATTGCCTTTTTTTATGCGTCAAGTATGCTCTGGCAAAATTAATTCTTAACACTAACTTGTTGAACTTTGTTCGATAGACCTACGACACAGGCATAAATTCTGACTGTATTTTAACTGAGGCGTTATATGTCAGGGGCCCATGAATAATACATAAATAAAGTTAAACTTCTTTAATATATACTACTCAGACCGTAGTTACCATAAATTATATTTCCTAATTTATTATGAAACGTTCTAATGTTACGTCTTAATTTCAACGTGATTAGCTGTGTTAGTTACATAAATCAGCCTGTGCAAAGCTCTTGACTTTGTAAATATCATAAAAATTACTTTCAACTCAAGAGTTGTTATACGAAATATATGGCTTCCCAGGATTATAATCAGTTGCACAATGTTGTAATTACTACCTTGCATCATTCCTTAGGCTTCTTGTTGAACACTATAATCATCATATTATAACCATTCTTTAGAATACTTGTACACTATAATCACTACACTGTATTCATAGTTGATATGACTTGTACACTCTAATAACTAAACTATATTTATATTTTATATTACTTGTACACTCTAAGCACTAGTGTATTCCTCCTATAGAATGTCTGAACTCCATAATACACTATGTTCCTCCTATAGAGTACCTGAACTCAATAATCACTACAGTGTATTCCTCCTATAGAATGTCTGAACTCCATAATACACTATGTTCCTCCTATAGAGTACCTGAACTCAATAATCACTACAGTGTATTCCTCCTATAGAATGTCTGAACTCAATAATACACTATGTTCCTCCTATAGAGTACCTGAACTCAATAATACACTATGTTCCTCCTATAGAGTACCTGAACTCAATAATACACTATGTTCCTCCTGTAGAGTACCTGTACTCAATAATCACTACAGTGTATTCCTCCTCTAGAGTACCTGAACTCCATAATCACTACACTATGTTCCTCCTATAGAGTACCTGAACTCCATAATCACTACACTATGTTCCTCCTATAGAGTACCTGTACTCAATAATCATTACAGTGTATTCCTCCTCTAAAGTACCTGAACTCCATAATCACTACACTATGTTCCTCCTATAGAGTACCTGAACTCCATAATCACTACACTATGTTCCTCCTATAGAGTACCTGAACTCCATAATCACTACACTATGTTCCTCCTATAGAGTACCTGTACTCAATA